GCCAACGCGCAAGAAAGGCTATTCTCATGGCTTGTGGTCTTTGCTGGCCCTTTTAGTCCTAGTCTTTGGGTTTCTAGTGACCAGGGCTCATTTGTCAGGACCGTTTTGGATCCATCTTTCTCACTCTGAGGTAGGCTCAAGGAATCGATGCCTCAACAGGTGCCACAAAGATGAATATGGCTCATGTCCAATCGAGTGGATTGGCCCACAGCCTGAACTTGATCAAACCATTGAAACAGTCTTCCCCCAAACAAGTTCAGAAACTCAGGAAGTGAGATACGGTTGTGTATGCTCCGCGTATGGAGTTCACCACCTTTCCGTCAAGGGTTGAACAGATTCATTCAAGGTTCTGGAAATGGGACTCCCCTTGCAAAATGATAAGCTCACCTATGAAATTATGAAAACATAAGAGCCCAATCTCTGGTTTCCAGTTGCCACTATCACTTATCAATCCCCCCTCTGGAATCTGCAAAACGCAGCCCTTATGGCGTCCCCTTCTGTATCACTCGGTTTCCCAGGCTCTCTTGGGGCTTCCGTTTGCCGTCCGCGGCGCGAACTGCGCGCGGCGCTGCTTCAGCTCAAGCCCCAAGTCCTGGAGCACTCGGCTTTGTTGCAACATGATGTTTGCCGCCACTTAAACAAATCCGGGCTGGTGTTAAACGTGGCTAGATGTGTTTGTCGCATTCAGTCAAACAAATTTGGCTTGGTGTAAAACGTTTGTGAACGTGATTGTTGCTGTCGGCTAAACACATTTGGCTTGTTCACGGATAAACACATTCGGCTTGGTCTTAAACGTGCCTAAACGTGAGTTTAGCCGTCGCTTCGACAACTTTGGCTTGGCGTTGAACGTGCTTAACACGTGAGTTGAGCCATCGGCTATTGGCTTCCTGTTCAAGTTGATTGAATGTAATTGTTGCCATCGGTTAAACAAATTTGGCTTAGTGAACCGTGTTGAAACATGATTTTAGCCATGGATTTAACAAACTTGGGTTGCGGTAACCGCGTTAGTTTAAGTGTGATTCTAGCCATTGACTAAACAGTGTGCTCTTAGTGTTAAACTTAAACGTGCTTACCATGTGCTCGAACGTGCTTAAGGCATGTTTAAACATTTGGGGTTTAACGTATGTGTTAACCGTAGTTTAAACAAATTTGAGTTGGTATTACGTATGTTTATCTCTATTGTTCAATCAATGTCCTTTGGGCTTCTTTTAAAACACCAAATGTTGTTTTCCTTTACAAGGAGTTTGAACGGACTTGGGTTGGCGGTGACACGTGTTGTTCGCTATTGTTCAAATATATTTGGGTTGGTATCAAAACATGTTCATATCAACCATAAGTCATGTTCACACGTGGTTAAACCACTATTGCTGAAACAACCTCCTTTTGGTTTCCCCCAAACCAACATAGTTTGTTTCCCTCTCCCAATTGCCCCTCAGCAACCCGGAAATCAAAAGTCATCACCTTTTGGGGCCACTAAAAAGTAAACATGAATGGACCAACAAGGGGGACTGTTTGGGGCCACTAAACATGGACCAACAAGGGGAATGGAAAAGGCCAACTGGGGGCCGCTAAAAATGGACCAAGGAAAAGCTCCAAGGCGGAAGCTGGTCGCTCTTAAAGCGGGTCCAATCCGAGCGCGCCTGCAGCTGCGCAGCCCGAGCCGCGGGCAGTTTCCCCGCCTGGCGAATGCGAAGGGTTTTCCCCTTTTCGGGGTTACCAAAGAAGGGGTACCCTCAAACCAGGCACGCCCATTTTTGGAAAAGCCATCCAGGGGAAAAAGCGGTGCTACAAGTCGGGTGACTCACTGAAAAGGAGTGGGCCAAAGCAACCAAACTTTGTGTCGAAGTTCACTCTTACATGGCCAACAGAGACCTCAGATATTGTGTTAAGACATCAAGTTTCCCGGGATAAGGTTTCTCTCCCAAATGAACCACAAACACAATTGGCTCACTTCCTGGGTGGGATCCCACACTTGCTGTTTGCCACCAAAATGGTAACCCAAAGTTACTACAGTCCCTTTCGGAACTTAAAAACTCAGGATATCAACCTTCAACAAAGCTTCTGAGACAGGTCGGGTCTCTCGAGTCTCTCGGGTCTCTCGGGTCTCTCGGGAGAACTCGAGGCGAGTGAGTCACAATCAAAACCGATCGGTATCAAACTGGTCTACTCAACATGCATATAATCTAAGCGGCGGATACCCACAACCGGGTGCGTGATTTTGGGGCTGGTTTAAGGAGAAACCAAGAGGAACGCCACCTTAGGGTCCCCTATTTTGACAGATGCCCAACCATGTGCGAACTAACCCTTCTCAGTTGTCCCTTTGGGCCCCAGAAATAAAAGGTGATCACCTTTGGGGGGCCTTTGCTAAAACATGGAACTAAAAATGGAAACCAAAAGTTCAAAAGGTCGATTTGCTTTGCATGGGTGAGCCTTACTAAGCTTTATGTACCCGAATCGGATTTGATTGCTGTGATAGCAAAGCGGGACGTCCATGACTACTTTATCTGAGGGGAATTCCATTGGACATTCACAGAACATAGCAACACAATGCCATTTACATATGTATATATATATATACATATGTTCCACAAACATGTACCCGAATCGGCTGTGATTGTATCAGGTTACATTCGGCTGGGACTGAACCCAACCCGTGGTTTCCCCTTTAGTCTCCGTTGAAAAACCCGAAAAGGGCTCCAACTCAACACCGCACACGCGACACCAGTGAGTTCTCTCGCCTTGAAGCTGGAGCGCACGGAGTCGATCCAGGCGCCCAGCTTGATGCCGTCCTCCATGTGCTTGCTGGGCACATCTGCATGGCCTGCGAGGAACAAAGGAAGGGAGAGGAGCAGTGGGAGCTTCCCAAAATAATCTGTCCCCTATAGCCAAATAGCATCTATTTTGACACATATCTAAAAGTAAAACTTCTCAAGGGGCTACAGGCAGGAAATGTGCGACTACCAAAAACATGATCGCACCAACAAAGTCCAGAAACGGAAGTGAGCTATACTTATTGCTCCGTTGCAAAAAGTTAAGATACACCTCCAACCGGATATGTCATAAACTCAATTCAACTCTGAACTCAGGTCTCAAAGTCTAAGGCACCTTATGGCTGGGAACCGCATGCTTCAGTTCCCTCAGCAAAGGGCCCTACCCCCCCCCCCTCTAGCAAGAGGCTTGCTTCCAAAAGACCCGATCCTTGGTCCTAGGGCAGCCAAAGGAAACCCCAGCTCCATCACTGGAATTTCCCTTGCAAGACTGAGGTGGATAACTTATCCCCACGACTACCTTGTCACCTTTTCTCCTTTAGATGGGAGCCCGGTCAACCAACTCCAAAGGCCAAAGAAAATCTGTCCAAGACTGAAACAAAGAGCCAAAGCTCCAACCAAACAGTTGTCAAACAAGACCTAAGGACCTTACCCCTTGGTGTCGTGGAGTGGTTCGGGGCCTTCCCGCTCCATGAAGCGCTTCAGCGCCGCCAGCTTCGCGGCCCAGAGCTCCTTCGGGGACGAGCGTGCGCCATCCCCGTGAGAGGCGACCGGCCATGGTCCTTTTTAGGTATTTATTGTGGTGTTGTCCAGGTGTTTATGGTGTTTATGGTGTTTATGGCGCTTTTTAGTTTGCGCTCAAACGCAAATGTGGATGTCCAGGTCCTTTAGCTCCCTTCGAACCACCAGCCCCAAAAGCCTTGGTTAGAGAGAAATGACGTGAGTGGTTCTGAAATGGTGCACCAGTTGTTTTCTAGGGTCCTACTTGCATACCCCAAGGAACACTTGCTGGTTCTTAGAATGGAATTTTAGAAGGGTTTGGGAATGAATCGTTTGGAAGGTAGTTTATGGGGGGTCATGCCATCATTGCTGAGAACCAGCGAGGCCACCCCGGGTTGCTCTTCGGCCCCCTGAGCGAAAGTTTGGCTGTTCGCTCGTGAGGAAACAACAATGTTCCGAACCAACGAGCCACCAAGTATTGCAAGGAGTTGATGGTACAACAGAAGCGGTTCCAACATGACCACATTTCAAGCCCCCCATCATTCACAGCGCGTCACTTGGATGTTTGACCTACTTGATAAATGCGTTCTGCTATCCCAGTGATAACGATGTGCAAACAACCTGTGCTGCTGTAAAGGGAGGATGTAGGGGAAAAGCCAGCAGGCTTGGAAAAAACAGGTCACCTGCTGGCTATCTTGGCCCTGCTTGATGACCCAGACGAGAAGAGGTGACCCGCTCCAAATGAGGCACAGGGTCCCTATCTTGCCTTTTTGGAGAGTTTAACCATCCACCCTTTTGGTTGCCCATTTAAAGTGAGTTTTCTTTTGGTGTGATGTTTCACGTGGACATATTGGGAGACGTCTCATTCTGGGGGACAAGTTTGATATATCTCCAAAAGGACTCCCGCACAGTTGTTGGGGCCTTCTTTCCAAGAAGGACCCGTCTGGAACAAACCTTGGCACTTGTTCTACAGGATTTCTACAGAGAAACTCGACCACCCAAACAAGCTCGGCATACTTTCACCAGGAATACAGCGGTTTGTTTCTGTGTTGGCAAAAGGAACACCGAGACCGCCGGAGTCGCACCAAAAAGCCGAACACCAGTCCAAGCCCGCGGGGAAATCCGGTCACCTCGCGGCTCGCCGCTGGCTCTCCGGGCATGTCGATGCCCAACAGCTCCAGCTGCCGCCTGGCCAAGTGGCCGCGCTAGGCCAATGGGATTTTCATCAGAGAAAAGGATCGGCACCTTCTTGTTGGCTGTTGTTAACAGGCCATGGGTCAAAAACCAAATCGTACCCCCAGTGAACATCCCAATCCCCACTAAAATAGACTAAAATGGGTACCATTAATTTTGACTCAGAGCCAACAGATTTGGAAACAATCCGCCCTCAAACGCACCAAAGGTCTGGGACTTTGGCCGCGTTACTTACTTCCTTTGCTGTTTAGGCATTGGCCAAGTGGTTCAGTTGGTCATAAAGGTGCCTTAGGCCTGTCTTGGGACTTCCAAAAGGGGATCCTATTGATCAACGAGGGCTATTCAGCCATAAGTTTCCACTTCCGCGTTGCTTGACAAACGAAGTACATTGAGAGGGCAAACAAAGAAAGGCTTTGAAGGGGAAACAAGGAAGCCCACTAAAAAGGGAGTGAGGAATGGCATTCCGAGAAAAGTTGTAAGTCGGCCTTTTTAGTGTCTTAAAAGAGTGTGGGTTTCCCTTACCCGGCTCCCCCCCCAAAAAAAAAAGGAAAGACAAGGAAAAGGAATTGACCAAAGGAGCATGTTGGTCGAGCGCAAATCGGGCAGATTCAACTGGGGGCACCCCCAAGGTTTCCCTTCGCCAACAAAAACATAGAACGCAACATCACCAAGAGAAACCCACCTTACCAGGGCAATAAGCTGAATCTGCACACATCCCGCATTGATCTTTGCTTTTGCCCCATTTCTCTCACTCGCAGGGATTGGCCCAAACGAGCCAATCTTCTTGCTTGCCACCAGGTCCAACCCCAAAAAGGACACAAGTTCAGTTCATCTCAGAGAGTTTTAGGCTTGTCCTTGCCAGGGACGATTGCTGCTACCAAGACCTAACCCGAGGCCTTCCCTTGAGGTGCCTTAAAGGATAACATTGGCCAGCAGAAGCGGGAACAAGGCTGCGAACCGAGGCCGTGCATGGCAAGGCCGATGGCATCTTGAGCATCGATGGCTTGAGTGCGAATCGCTCCACATGCTGTGGACTGCCCTTCCGACCGAAAGGTATGGCCACGATCTCGTAGCGCAGGGGTGGCCGCAGCATACGTCGCCACGGTCGTCAAAGTAGTAGCAGAGCTTTCTGCCTTCGCCTCGGATCCTCGTGCGTGGCAGGACCAGGCTTGTGCACACATCTCGCCAATTGCGCCACAGCGAGGGCCTTGCTGGTCCTGGTTGTTTCAAAGGGTTTCCAAACACCAGGTTATTTTTAAGCGTATTCTGAAAGAGGCCCAGACCCAAAGGCTTCTTTTGCTAGGGAATAGGTCAACTCGCTTTGGACGAGTGTCCCCCCATGTCCCCAACTTGACATGAACCATGAACTTGAAGCTTCGACCGAACCTCAAATACCAGTGCGGATGCTCCAGGAGGCGTTTGTCTCCAGTTTTGAGGTGCAACAGAGGATCCTTTGAAAGGAGATGACTTGGGTTCCATTCCATTTGAGCCAGAGATGGGAAACACTTCGTTGCCGATTGACCTCAACTGGAGGAGAACTCTCCTGAAGATAGAGCGGAAAAGCCTGTGTTTTTACGGGAATCGCCTGTTGAAGGACACTTTTGGGGATTCCATGTCAATTTCGGGAGCACATGAACAAAGGGAATCGTGTGAGTAATGAAAGGACGCTCCCACTTGAGATCCATTCAAGCCCCGTCCACGGGAAGATACCCCGAAAACAAGAAGGATGGATTAATGGCCTGCCCCGCTTTGGTTGGGACCATTCCCGTACAACCCTTGATGGTAGGGGTTGAGTGGACCTCATGTCATGTGACAAATTGGTCTGTGTTCCCCAAGAAGGGAGCAACAACTAAATGCATCTAAGCGACGCTCTCGAATGTACTGAAGGTTTTCAGTGGACCGCCATTCTCTGTTGGCTCTACTTATAAAAGAGAATAGTTTTATTTACGTAGGCCTGAAACACCCATGGTGTCGGGACCACAAACCCCTTCCGGGGTCTTGAATAGACCTCACCACCTCCCCCTCTCCAACTCCAGGCCCTACCAGCCCCCCACCAACCCCCGACGCGCCTCTGGGCTTGGCTTAGCTTCTTTCGGCGGCTTTTGGAGCGCTGGTCCTTGATCCAGCGGCTGAGCTCTTCCACGTCCGCGTCTCCTGGCCGCTTCGTTGCACTGTGGATTGGAAGCAATAGGTTCCTACAGTCGAATAGGCGGGTATGAATGATCTGGACCACATCATGTAGAGCTTGGATTCCCTGAAGGGCAGCCATTTGTAGAATTGAACCAAACCATTTAAGGGAAGACCATAGCGATTTTACAATTCGATAGAGAATCGGTTCAATGGTTTTGCGATACCTGGGGAGTCTCTCGGAAGCCAACAAAAAGGCATTGGAAGGATGCCCTCATGTTACTCACCAAGGCTGTGGGGCCAAACTTGTTGGGGATTTCTCCAGGGTTCCAAGCTCCATGTTGATGGGCTGAAACCAAAGTTGATGTCCCGAAAAGGGCCTAAGGGCCATGGGGTGACGTCTACGGTTTGCAATGAGTGTATCTCGAACTGGGCAACGTCTCCTTGGAGGTTCCGGAAAGCCATGAGCTGACTGTAGCGTCGCTGCCACTCCAGCTTCTGCTCGGTGAAGCAAACTCCGAAGTCCTCGAAGCTTGAGGCCCGAAGAGAAAAGCCCCAAAAAGCCACTCCAAAGGAACCCAAGAAAGCCCCCAACACCGGCCTTTTGGGTGGCTAAAATGTCCTTCATGTTCAAATTGGAGGAACTGCGAAATTCACATCCGCTCGAGGAACAAACAAAACCGTACTTGGTTTTGGGTAGTCAACTATTTCCTGTCGGTTTCCGTGTATATTCTTGCGTATTCACTTCTCAGTTGTCCACATCCAACCCTTTAGTTGACATGTCGGTGTCTTGGCGTTTGGGTATTCAAACCTGGAGTTGCCAAAATGTACCTGTTCTTTCCGGGTCCTGGGGTCCAGTAAAACAAAATATGTCAGATTTCCCGAGCTGAACAAATCCCTCATTGGCGCTTGTTTTGAGTGTGCTGAGGGGAAACCAGCCGAAGTAGTTCTGAGAACCTAAAATGGCACACGCGGGCTTTGCCGGCCATTGACGGGCCCCTACCACACAGCACCTCAGCTCCGAACCTTCGCTGGATTAATAATGATTACAGGTTTGGGGCCAACTGCGGGTCTTTGGATCGCGCTGGGCACCTGTGGTTTTCTCTTTGGCCAATTTCCTTTGGACAGAAAAGACATGGGTGTGGCTCAAAATTAACGAGCTGGGGTTACGCGGGTTTTGGTTTTTCTTCCCATCCAAGGGCGGTCCAAGGGGCCCAAAAATTGGTACCACCTTTTTGAGCCACAGCCACATCGGTGATGAAGGGGTCCACCACTTTTAGCGCGATTCCAACTCTTAATCGTCCGAGGCCAATTCTGGCGAATGTCCCCAAAGTTCACTGACCAAATCGAATCGTTTTGATTGCGAAGTGTGTTGGGTCCAGCTTGCTCCGAGTTTGGCCCGGAAGCTTGTGAGAGCAACCGCTACCACTTGGAGTGAAACCCCGGCACTTGTCCCAAGAAGCCCTTGTTGGGGACAACCCATTTGTGATGAGTACCGTCCGTTTCGGAAAAGGAACCTGTAGACTTCCGCTAGTTTGTGTGGCTTGCAATGTCGTGAGGGTTGCTCAACAGGAATGGGCGCAGGATCAAAAAATAATTATTTACGGGATCAAAAAAATTATCGACACCCGGATCAAACACATTTTTTTTACAGGATCAAAAACAAATTATCTCGCCTGGGGGTGCCAAAACGCTGTAATTTACATCATTTTCGGGCAACAGCGCGCGCATTTTACGGCTCCAGCTGTAAAATAGACACTTTCCAATACAAGCGCAGTACGCGAAGGTCAGTTCGAAAATCACAACTTTTCAGATACAAGCGCAGTTCTATCAACGAATCTAGCATCGGTTAAATGCCTGTAGGGTTGGCTTAAGGTTGTGTAGGGTTAATGTAGGTTGGGTTTCGGGTGGGTTTGGGGTGGGTTCAGGCTTGGTTTAGGGACGGTTTAGGGTTTGTTTACGGTGGGTGGATTTAGGTTGGTTTAGGGTAGGTTTAGGTTGGGTTTAGCGTTGGATTGCGGGTTTAGGGTGGGTTTAGGGTTGCTTTAGGGGGTTTAGGGTGGGTTTAGGGGTGGCTTAGGATTGGCCTGGGAATGGTTTAGGGTTGGGTTAAGGGATGGTTTAGGCTAAGTTTACGGGTAATGGTAGGGTAGGGTTAGGGCAGGTTTAGGGTTGGTTTAGGGTTGGTTTAGGCTGGGTTTAGGGTTGGCTTAAGGTTCTGTAGGGTTTGGGGTTGGTTAGGGTGGTTCTAGGTTGGCTTCGGGTAGGTTTAGGGTGGGTTTAGGGTGGGTTTAGGGTTGGTTTGCGGGTTTAGGGTGGGTTTAGGGTTGGTTTAGGGTTTAGGGTCGGTTGAAGGTCAGTAGGGTTGGTTTAGGGTGGGTTTAGGGTTGGATGAGGTTTGGTTAGGGTTGCTTTAGGGTTGGTTTAGGGATGGTTTAGGCTGGGCTAAGGCTTGGTTTAGGGTGGGTTTAGGTTTGGTTTGGGGCTTGAAAGTTGTTTAGGGTTTTTAGGGATAATTTAGGGTAGGTTTCGGGCAAGTTTAGGGCGGGTTTAGGGTTGGCTTAGGTTGGTTTTGGGTCTGTTTAGTGTAGTTTTCGGGTGGGCTTAGGCTGGGGTTAGTGCCGGTTTACGTGGCTTAGGGTTGGTTTAGGGTTGGGTTAAGGGATGGTTTAGGCTAAGTTTACGGTGGTTTGGGGTAAGTGTAGGGTAGGGTTAGGGCAGGTTTAGGGTTGGTTTAGGGTTGGTTTAGGCTGGGTTTAGGGTTGGCTTAAGGTTGTGTAGGGTTGGTTTCAAGGTTGGTTTAGGGTTAATTTTGGTTGGGTTTCGGGTGGGTTTGGGGTTTCGGGTGGGTTTGGGGTTGGTTTAGGATTGGTTTAGGGTGGGTTTAGGTTTAGTTTAGGGTCTGTTTAGGGTGGGTTTAGGGTGGGTTTAGGGAGGGTTTTGGGTTTGTTTGCGGTGGGTGGATTTTGGTTGGTTTAGGGTAGGTTTAGGTTGGGTTTAGGGTGGTTTTAGGTTGGCTTAGGGTAGGTTTAGGGTAGGTTTAGGGTGGGTTTAGGATTGGTTTAGGGTTGGTTTAGGGCGGGTTTAGGGTTGGTTTAAAAGTTGCGCAGGGTCGGTTTCAAGGTTGGTTTGTAGGTTGGTTTTGGGTTGGTTTAGGGTGGGTGTAGTTTGGTTTAGGGTCGGTTTCGGGTAGGAGAGCAGGCCAGGAGACCAGCAGACCAGGAGACCAAGAGACCAGGAGACCAGGAGACCAAGGACCAGGAGACAAGACACAGGAGACCAAGGACCAGGAGACCAGGAGACCAGGAGAGCAGGGGACCGGCAGACCAGCAAAAAGCAGGAGAAGGAAATCAGCAGACCAGGAGACCAGGAGACCAGGAGACCAGGAGACCAGGCGACCAGGAGACACGGGAACCAGGACACCAGAAGACCAGGGACCAGGACGAGCAGGAGACATGGGGACCAGGAGACCAAGGACCAGGAGACCAGGAGACCAGGAGAGCAGGGGACCGGAGACTAGGTCTCAATAATTTGTTTTTGATCCCCTAAATAATTATTTTTTGATGCTCATCCCAACAGGAATGCCCTTTTCGGATCAGTTGTGACCCCTTGAAACGAAAACACAGAACAGCAGGTCCGAATTGGCACCCTGTCTCGTTGGACAGCCCTCATGTGTCATCCAGCCCTGTTTATATCTACCTTGGAGTGGTCAAAAAAAACTGGGTTTGAAAAGATGCAAAGAGTACCATTCTGCTTTGGTTCCTTTTGGGAAAACTGAACATTATGTCTACATGTTTCGCTCTCAGAAAATTGACAACACACCTCAAATTGGCTACCAACATGTGATGTTCAAGACCAGCCTTTCGGGAAAAACATAGTGGAATCTGGTTGAAATAAGTTTACGTCCACCGAAAACTGGCACTCTACCTCGTCAAAAAATGGGTATGTCTCAAAATTTCGGAAGCCTCCAAACTGCTCGGTTTCCAGCCATCCCTCCAAAATGCTCCGTTTCCTTTCTGGCTTTTCTTCAAAAACCAACCAACAGGTTGGGTGCCCCCCCCAAAAAAATAAAGGAACCACCATGCGCTCGCTGGGCTCCTGGAGCCGCTGGAAGCGCTCGGGCCCCAGCTGCCCCTCGGCCGCGCGGACGCGCTGGCCGGCGAGCCAATCGCCCAGCTCGAGGCCCACCTGGGGGTCAGCGCCTTCCGCTTTTTCGCCATTTGGCCATGGGTCAAAAACCAAATCGTACCCCCAGTGAACATCCCAATCCCCACCAAAAAAAACTAACATGAGTGGTGCACCCCATAATCGTACCATCGGTTTTGACCCACAGCCATTTGGAGGTTGATGACAAGGTTGATTTGGGGAAGATTGGTGGGTTGGGAGGAGGAAGGCCTGGCTTTTGAGGGTAAATGGGAATCCTGGGAGCCCTGCCAAACCAGTCCAAGCCACCAACTAGAGGGAAGCTGGTTGATCAAAAGGTCCGAACGTGGGATGACCATTGGCACAAGTGATGACGGCTTCTTGATCTTGCCTTTACCCCCCCCCACCCCTTTAAACACAGCTGACCGCGTCACGCGGACGAGGCTCGCCGAAAGGAAAGGATGACCATTGGTTGGGCAATCACTTAGCAACATGAGATATTTCAACTGGGCAAAGTTAGCCATGGTCATTTTGGGGGGCCGAACGGAATTTTAATCAACCCCCAGTTGCGGGTTGGTGGTGCGGCGGATTTTTCTTGCTGGTGCGACAGGTAGGGAATGTGAGAATGAAGCCAGGGAGTCCCGAATAAAGGAAACCACAAGGGATGGTTTCAAAGGGTCATTCCCTCATTCCTGCTCAAGCACCAGCAAGTTTTGAGGACCCAACCTTTTGATTGGCTTTTAAGGCAAGCCAGACAAGGAAGCTGACCATGTTGGAGGGATCAAGAGTTGTTTTAGTCCTCGCCCAAATCAAGCTTTGGCGAAGGCTTGCATCAAATTGCCAGAGCCAGAGATAGAACATCTGCCCGGGGGAACATCCGGAAATTCAGCTTCCCTCGTTGCTTGGTGGTTTGGAGCCCGGTGTTTGGCGGTGGGGGGGACACCCCCATCTACCCAATCCCAAAGGGTTGCCTGAGTGATAGATTCCAATTAAGACCAGCAGCGGAACGCAACACATATTTTGATGTTGGTGCCCCTGGAAACAGATACCAGACACAAAGAAGTTTGGCCCGAACTATTCCCTACCCAAAGATGATAAGATGTATCTAATAAAATATGCCTTTCTGGTCCGGGAAAAAAAAATCGGCAATGCCCGGTACTAGCCAATGCGAACAGATACTAGACAAAGTCCCGGAGAGTGTGGGGGAGGAAGATTCAACAGAAAGGGAGAGGGCAAGTTTGAATCCATTTTTCCGACTTTCCATTCTCCCTCTCTCTCGCGCTCTCTCCCTCTCTTCTTTCTCTTTCTCCCTCTCTTTGCCTCTCTCTCTCTCTCTCTCTTTGCCTCTCTCTCTCTCTCACTCTCTCTGCCTCTCTCTTTGCGAAAGTGTTGCGCCTGTCACGCAAGCTAATGTCGCGAAAAGGGCGCGCGCTTCGGCGAGACCGCTCCACACCCGCTCCGGGACCTTTGTCAGGCGTCGCAACCGAGGTAGTTGATGCGGAGCCGAACTCACGCACGCTTCTATTCCCCAGCCCTCGCATTTGTTCGCTTCCTCGCTTTTGGGTGCGCGGGGTGCGTCTATTGTTAACAGATCACGCGCAGGTGCATGCATTCTTACAGAGAGCTAGCTAGTTAAAATTAATTCCTCTACTACGAAAGTTCTCGTTAAAGTTCCTTGACTAAGCCAGTACTAAGGAGCCAATACTAAACCAGTACTAAACTTGAGGCAGGCCAATCCGCCGCTAGATTGACATACCAGTTTCTCTACTGAGCCCCCCCTGCGCGGAGGGGCCCTTACTTAGTCAGTCCGCACTGAGCGCTTGGATTGGCGGTTGGTATCAATTTCCGTTTCTTCTGGTACACCTTAATGCTAAGGATGGGCGTTTCTCAAAATGGATTTCGGACCCTTCGGTTGGCAAGGGGAAACCAAAAGGATACGAGTGCCAATCATTGGCGAGCCTGGTGGTTTGGAGGTTGGGCAGTTTCTCATTTATCAAGAACCCAAAGTCTCAACCTCCTGAGCCACCGACCCAAACCGCCAACTCAGGGTAGCTTGAGCAAAAGTGCGAAATACGGGTCGATCGGGCCCTTTGGGTGTGGTGTGTCCTGTTGTCCTTGGGGAAATCTGCGCCTCACATGCGAACTACAGCCTCCCACTGTTTTTCCCTGTGCAATAAGCAGCCGGGGTGGGTGTTGGGACTAGTGAAGTTTAGTGTGAGGAATTTGTGCTTTCCAGCCCGCCACAGAACAAAAAGACTAAACCACATGGCCCAAGACCAGTGAAGTTTACCTGTCACCACAACAAAAACGACGTCGGGAGCCCTGTCCTCGCGGTGGTTGGGCGGCACCTCTGAATGGCCCTCTCCTTGCGTCGAATCTTTCTCTGGGCGGGAATGCACTGCGGGTAACAAATCATAGCGGGTGGGATAATTCCTGGCTAGATTTGGTGAACGTACAATATCATAACTAAATATTGTGACGTATAATTTTAACTATTTATGCACCCTAGGCTCGGTTTTGCTGGGGATGGCTTTACCCCGGAAGCCTTGTTGATCAGGGTCCGAGTCAAAATTATGTGGGCTCTCAAAGCACAAATGTGATGGGTTCATTTTCTCAAACATATTCCGGTGGTTTAAAGGGAAACCTCCGCGTGTCATTTTCAGACCCCGCAAGATGCCTTCTCACTTTAGACCCGGCCCGGACAAACAAAAGGGTGGAGATGCAATGCGGGAATGAAAGCATTGCCGAACAAAAACAAACCAATGCTTGGTTGCCGTTTCTCTGCCAATGTTTAACTTTTTGTGGGGCCAATTCGGAAAACCCGCAGTTTCAAACAAAAAGTAAAAGCACACAAATCCAACCAAATGGCCATAAAGAATGGAGATCACTCTTCGCTGTTCCTCCCCCCGAACATGTTGGGGGCTCAACCGAACTCGCGTGAACAAACTCCCCAGACACTTGCTATGGGAGAAAGGGCTCGGCGCCCAATGTGTCGTAGTGTTGACTTTTGAAGGGAACCTCCAACCAAAAGTTGAACAACTCAGCGTTTCTCTAAGTGGTGGTCCCCAGTCCCCACCAGTCCAAACCCCCAACTAAGGCTTACCTGAAAATTGGCATGTGCCCATAGGTCTGGGTAAACTTGCTGGTGCGCAGTATCGGACTTAGTATCGGGATTCCTTTAAACCAAATCGGGATGGTTTTTCTTGGGATCGTTCCATTTCTCATTCCCTACCTATCGCACCAGCAAGTAAGCAAACCGGAATGAGGGAATGACCCTTACAAACCATCCCCGAGATGGTTTCCTTTCAGGGAATCCGCAAAACCAGTTCCTTCCCGGGAAGCGGCTCCTTCCCTAGGTCCTCCAGTAGAGAGGTTAGAATAAGGGTGCCCCTTTTCTTGGTAGTCTATTTTAGTAGGGAACCCTCCCCCAAAAAAAGGGTAAAAGGGCACTACTGGGGGACCTAGTTTTCTATGCAAGCAAACCACGTCCCGCGCCCCCGAAGCCCCTGAAATCCGCAGGGCGTCGGAGGCGATACGCGCCCAGCAGCGAGGCCATGAAGTCCCAGTCCGGGCCATCCCCGTGCCTGGCGATCACGTAGGCCTCCCAGATCCGGCGAGACTCATCTCAAATTTCTATCGCGAAGAGATGTGATTTTCTGGGTCTGCTTCAATATCTGAATTTCCTTGGTCAACTCTGGGGTACGCCCAACATTTATGGATTTTCTGGGCCCGTTTCATGTATTTAGCCTTTTTGGACCCCTCCGATTATCCTGTCACGATCCACAAGTTCTATGATTCCAAAGCCTCTCTTCGCCTCTTTTTGGGCAGGCGGTAGCCTGGGCCATGTACTCCGTCCCGGGACGGGAACGAACTTGCTCAACTGACGGGTTCTCCACCGTCTCATGCCCCAAAACCATTGAGTCTCATGGAAAACACAAAGCTTACCCGCTAGTCCGGAGACATTAACATTCTGCATGGCCCAATGGCACGGCGTGGGCCAAGGCAACGCGCTTCGCCAACAACAAGCCAAGCCAGCAGCCAAGCTAGGACTGCTTGTCTACACGTGCAAAACGACCTGGCACTACTGCGCTGGAGTCGTGCGCGGAGGTCGCAAGTGGCCAGAGCAGGACCAGCGTACCGACTGGCAGTGGCACGCGCGATGCGAACACACCATGATCGGCGAGCAACTGATCTCCATGGTGCACACTGTTGGTGGCGAAATGCGGATCAACCATCAGGACATGCTGCGTCCTGCCCACCTCTTCATGTCTCTTCCCTGCTGTGACAGTGGCCCTCTCTCTCGTCTGAGACTATAATTCCAAAACCTGAAAAAGACGTTCTCAGAATTTGGCCGTGGCAAAAAAGGCATCTGCTTGTCCTTTATTTTAAAGGGGGTTCTCTTCCCAAACAAAGAATGAAGTGCGCCACTCAAGGTCTGGGAAATTATGGGAGTCCCAAACTGGAAAACGGGTGGCCTTAAACCAACAAAACGCACGGCCACATGGGATTGTTGCCGCCTCCGCCAGCAGCTCTGGATGTATCTCCGCATCCGGGGGGCCCACCAGAGCTTGCAGCTCCTGTACTAGTGATCCGGCAGCTTCGAGAAGTTCGCCAGCTTTCTGAATTCCAATGGGCAAATCCTTCGACAGTCGTGAGATATTTTTGGTCTTCGGGAATACTCCTTTCCCGTGGTGCAAACATGCGGACCCTGTTTCCAATGGTTGGGAACCTTGGGTGGAGGCCCTTGAAGCTGATCCCCGGTGATCGGCGGATTCCCAGCTTGGGGCGGCCATTTCGCTGGTGGCCATGGGGATCCCGAAGCGCAGTGGGCTGCTTGGACCTCACTCAGCTTTGGGATCACCCAGTTTCTTCGCCAAAACCCAACCTGAGTCAGAATCAAAACCCGATACAAACATGGTGAACCCAGAACCATGTAAAGGATGAAGAAGACGGCCGCACCTATTTATGGTTGGGATCGTCCCTTACTAACCTTCATCTACCCGGGTTTTGATTGTGACTCACCTGTTTATGGTGGCAACCAGAAACAAGGCCAAAATGAGGCCAAACGCCAACAGCGCGTCTCTTTGAAGCAAGTCCGGTAGAAAAAGGCAACCATGTGATTTTTGGGTTGGCTGACCATTTTCAGAAAGTAACCCACAGAACGAAACGAGACTAAGGGAGACACTGAAGAACTGGGAGGTTTTGAAGTTTCCCTTCATTCTACTGCAGCAAACTTTCCCTTTTGGATGTGTTTGACTCAGTTCCCGAGTGGACTGATCAGGAAGCGTAAAAAAACTGCTCGTTTACCACAAGCACGGCTGAGCAAGCTGGGTGGGCTAACTGACCTTCCCCAGTGGCTCGAGTGCGGAAACTGGGTTGAAAGTGAGAAGGGAAAGCAGAAGGGAACCGGCTGCCATTTTGAGCCATCCCCGAAAATGGCGTCCAGAAGACCCGGCTATGACACCCCAGCAAATGTGAACCCCCGAAATCAGGCGTCCTTCAACACAACAGAAGGCTCCGTTCCTTTAAAGTACCACTTCGACATTCCTATACAGTCCAAACTTTTGAGGGGTTCAAACAGGCCTCTCACAGGCACATTTTGTTGAACGACCCTGTTGCCCCCATAGCAAAAGGGTCCCCGTTACCGGCATCCGATTTTGAACAATCCTTTCCATGCACCAAGAAACCAGCCGGAAATTCCACCGAAACTTGCCCCGCAAGTTAAGGGTTTCGGTGGGTGCTTGGCCTCGTAGAGTTTCCTGCTGGTTCCTGTGGAATGCACGCCAGGCACCTGTTGAGATGGAGGAAACCGTATGGTGGTGCAAGATGTATTTTCCATCCATAGGAACTCTCCTATACATATTATTTTAGCCAAAAAACAAATCCTAACTGGAGGCTGGCGTTGGGTCCTAACATTTTGTGGCAGGGAATCAACCTCAATAAAATCAGCCAAAAGGGAGTACACGACCGCTAGGGTTCATTCGATTTGTGGGAAACCACATCATAGAAGTTGCTGGCTTTTTTGGGAAACCACAAATTGGGTCAACCATTCTTTTCACGGGGGCAAGGAACCCTAGGGCCATCCCCAAAATGGCTAAACAATTTTGTTCGTGGTTTCCCTTCAAAATCAGGAAAACGGGGAGTTACTTGGGGATAGCCTCAAACAAAGACACATCCATATGGGTGTGGCTCAAAATTAAAAAGCTAGGGTTACGCAGGTCTTTGTCTTTGGTTCCACTCAACAAGGTATATTACGATGCGATTTTGGCACATGCTTTTGAGCCACATCCATATTGCCCTTTTTCTTATGAATACCACCCCCGTGTCGGTCCATCGCGCCTGGGGCCATTGCTCCACCGGCAGCTGACCTTCAGTCGCCGAACGCAGCACCAGCTCCTTGAGCGCGGGCAATTTCTCCGGGTCCTCTGCCACTAAGGCCTCAAGCGAGTGCTTCAACAGGGATCCATGAAAAACACCAGAAAATTGCAACTTGTCAATGGTGGTGTCCCTTTATTTTGGTGGAAAAAGCAACATGGTTCAAATGGTTGCAAAATGGAAATCTTTTAAGGAGCCCTGTTCAAGGGGAAGGGGAAGGGGTTGTCTAGCCGTGCCCTCCTTTTCCCTTCTCTTCAAAAGTTCCTTCTCTTGAAAAAGTGGTGGCCAAACCCCTGGAAAATAGGTGCATTCTGAAGAGAACATTTCGTGAAGGGTACCATACAAAATGTGTGTTTAGATTCTGGTCCATAGGCTACCCAACATACATTGACTGATTTTGCAGGAGCCAGGTTCAGGGGGGAGGGGGTGAGATGTGGTACACAGCCACAGTGTTTCTCTGGATAGGGTCTGGAGCAATCGAAATGCCCATCCCCCTTTTGGCTTCCTATAGGGGACATTACACCACGTGCTCGTGCTCGTTGGAACCCAGCATCACAACAAGAGTAGAAGTTGAGCAACCCTGTCAAGCGCAAACCACCAGTTCAAATCGCAAGCCAAGGAAAACTGCAAAAAGGAGAAAATTACTGCGCCCGAACTTATTCAAAGTCAAAAAACATACCCAGGGCCATGAGTGCAGGCTTAAACAAGACATGAACTTAGGTAAAAATGCAAACAAAACACACATGAGTATGTGTCAAAGTAGGAAACCTCAAAAACTGAATGGTCTTCTTTTTGGTGTCTCTTTCAACCAGCCTGAAACGGGTACCCTCAAACAAACACACACACACACACCACAAAAAACAGTGGGAAACCGTCGCACTGAAAAGATTCAAAAGCCAGGCGAGAGTCCTAAAGCCGATAAAAATACCAGCTTCAACGTTGTCACGATCAACACCTAGTACCCCAAACCATTTAAAGATTCAACAGTGGAGTGTATGCGAAGGGGAGAAGGGAATGAAAGGAAAGATTGGAAGCGAATCGGGCACTCAACGTCGGCCGAGAGGGAGTGAAGGTAGATACACAATCACCAGAACCCTTTATTAGAGTAGAGATGACGGAGGAGAATTGTGCTATTCTAACTTCTTTAATTTTCAGTTGTTTCCTTTCTTATCTGATCTCCCATTTGAAAAATAGTTGTGTTCTTATTCGTATGTTCGAAGTTGTTGATCTGGCTTTACATTGTAATTTGATTGAACGTGAAGGAAGGTGATGCATGCTTGTCCACTCTCATCTCTTTCTCACTTCCAAGTCCTAAAATAATCACCAAATAAAGGACAACACAAACAAAGAGACAAGAAAAGGAAGAGATGACAGTACCCGGCCCGTTTACTTTTGTTAGACATCATCCGGTTGGGACGGGATGTGAGACAGAGATGAACCCAAGAGTATACTACGGAGTGGAACGGAGTGAGAGAAAGCACTAATGGTTAGACCAGCTCTCACCACCCTCTCATATTCACTATTTGCCTTCCTCCTCTAATAACCTCTTCAGGATTGGGACAGGAATGATGGAGAGAGATGGAGAAAGAACTAAATCCTCAAATCCATTCCATCTATCAGAGCTGAAAGACGTTTGGGTCCGTGCGAAATCCAAGATGAGTGCATGGAGGTGTGGTGTGCTGGCAGATAGACCTTCCAGGGCGGGTCAAGGACATCTCTTTCCTATCCCCAGATGCCCAGTGGCCATGGGGAAAAAGCGCCTCCTTCTTTGGTTGGTTGACTTTAAAGGGAAACCCTTCCCAACAAAAAGGGAAAAGGGCACTGGGCAACTGGGTATTTTATCAGTTCTCTACCCCACCCCGTCTTCTCGTGGCGATATGGAGAAGCCAAAGACAGTGGGATGAGAGAGGTCCATCTCTTTGTTTGTTCCCTCTCCCACTTTGTCTGTGAGATAGATCCTGAGGTAGATTGGGCAAGAGAAGGACCCACTAAACCACATCTCTCTCTCTCTCACACATTTCGACTCGTCCACACTCTCCGCGTTTCTAGCTATATCTGTTCACGTTCCTATCATTCCTGGACTTATGTGGTGATGGGTGCAAGATGGATAAAGAAGAAACAAATGGGAACATTACCAATAAACAACAATACTTTACTTAGAAACTTGAGCATATCTAACATGATAAATACTTTAAATAGAAAGGCAAGGACATAGTAACTAGCAATACATAGGCTTGTACATGCAGAGAGATACCATCATCACATCAAATGAAACATGTGGATAAAACAATAAACAATATGAATGTAACATAGCAACCTGAAAGAGATGCACAAATCATCAAGTAACAACAATCTAACATACTGTTAGGATAACACAACATAAACACAGTATAAGTCTTTATGATTATCTTCTCTCACACCCGGATTCATCATGTCATCTCTTGCTTGGTATCTTTATGAATTACTATTTTGTGGTGTCTTTCTTAATCTCTTGTCTCCTCATCTATACATACCACTTGCTCGGATGACCACCCCACTTTGCAGGAGGCAAATATCCCCTGTGATAGGTGCCCTAAGTGGGTTGTATGTATGATAAGGTCAGCAAGGGATAACAATCCGGAGGAAGTAGAATTCGTGTTAATTTGTCTAATCTTTGACCGTCTGGTCCCACAGATTAATTCCCGGATTCTAAGATGATTGCGACTAATTTACTCAGAGAAGTGGTAGGTTCCCGTTGGGAAACAGCCCCAGTTTCTGACTTGGACAACTCCTAACAGTAAACACATGGGCATGAAGCTTAACTATGGACCCTTTGGCGAACATCACTAGAGAGTCATGTCCACCAAACATGTGGTTTTTATTGGTCCCCCCAAAAAAACCAAGGCACCACGAGCGCCAGCACCAGAGTGTACTTGCTGGACATCGTCTTGTCCCTAGCGCGCGCGGTTGTTAGAGAGGCTGTGTTGTCTTGCCGGTGCGATAGGTAGATAATGAGGGAATGAACCTGGCTATTGTCTTAAGGGAAACCATAGGGGATGGCTCATAGGGGTCATTCCCTCATTCCCTGCTGAGCACCAGCACGTCGTTTTGAAAAGGGTGGTGCCTTGGAAAAGGGGGTTTGCCTTTTGATCGATTCCGGAAATCTAGCTGGACTCAAGGGTTACGGAGAGGTCTGTTGCTTTGAGGTAAAGGCAAAAGCAGAACCCACATGTGGCATGTCACCCTTTCCGTGATACCAAAGCGGGCCATCCCCACTACTCCTTGTGACAGAAAGTAACCCCCAATCTCAAGTGACCAAGCAACCCGCGAAAAAGGAGGGAACCGTAAGGGACCCAAGGCAACCCAAGGCAACCCAACGAAAATTCGCAAGGAGCCCGGGAATTTCAACCAAGGTGTCGAGCCGTCCTGAGCACCAGCAGCGTTCCCTCGGCTTGGACGTCCGATTTCTTTGCGACGAGGCCGAGCACCTGGCGCATGGTGTTTGCCACGGTCAGTCCCGAATTCCATGCTGAGAGCCAGCAAGTTTAAGTCATCTTCGGGTCATTTCGCGCGGGGCCTTGCCTCAAAGCACCCCGCACCGCAGTACCCGCGCAACTCTGCACGTGCCGGTAGTGCCGACTGGGTAACCTTACCCAAAGCTTTCGCAGAACCATGCGGAACTCTTGCGGAACCTTGCAAAAACCTTGCAAGCCGAGACCCCCCCGAACCCTGCCTCTGGGTTTCATCTCCAACAAAAATGGAAACAGGGCGCTCCTTGGCTTGAAGGGAAACCAAACGCCGGGCACGTGGCTCTCCCGCACCTTGGCCACATGCCGACTGCTGATCTTCCCCGGCGCCAGGAACGCCACCTCCACGCCCGGCGGCGTTGCTGCAGAGTTTCCGCCGGAAAGCAGCACATAGGCGCTGCTCACCACAACCTCACTGGATGTTCAGCGAACCCTTTCTTTTTTCCACCCAGCGACAAAGGAGAACACATGGTGCCACATAGATAGGGAGGGCCCTTGGCCCAAAATCCCATAAGAACTCATTTGAAACAAGCTTCCCGTTTAGAATTGACGCTAGGGACGTGGTTTGCCTGAATTCCTCTACCAAAAATTTGATGCTGGAAGTGGGGACTTGTTTTGGGAAAGCAGGTGTATGGGCGGATTCAAGCCGAACTTTGTGAATCATTGGTCTGTCCACAAAAGGGCGGAGGGTCCCCTCCAAACTGGACTCCTTGTCGCTTTGCAGCGTGGGCTATTGCAAACCCAAAGGCTCTTATATCTTTGAGCCCCTCGCGCTTGCCCTTGCGCTTTCGCGGGCGATGCACTTTCAACACCTGAGGTTTTCTTGTCGGTCCCGCTGCAGCCGTGGCGGTCGGATCAAGTAGGCTTGGAGCATGATAGGCGCAAGCTTCCTTTCAGCACACTCTGTATTACATTGACAGCCCCGACTCGAACGTCGCAACTTTTAACTACAATGTCGTACGCGAAGGACGCTTTGGAAGCTCCGGCTTGAAGGCGCAACTTAACAGTACAAGTGTAGTATGCCTTGGCAGCTCCGTTTCAAAAGTCGCAAGGGTAGTACGCGAAGTACACTTTGGCAGCTCCGGATCAAAGTCGCAACTTTTAACGTACACGTGTAGTACGCGAAGTACACTTTGGCAGCTCCGGCTGGAAAGTCGCAACTTCTAAGTACAAGTCAAGAGCATGCGATGTACATTTTGGCAGAACCAGCCTGGAACTTTCTGGCAACTTTGAGGTAGAAGTGTAGAACGAAGGTTCTCCGGTTCGAAAGTTGCAACTCTTATGTACAAGTGCAGCACACTATGACAGTGTAAGCGCAAGCGTATCACACGAAGTACGCTTTGACCCCTCTGGCTTGGAAGTCGCAGATTTCAAAATCACAAGTCTGTAGCGCGCGATTTCAGCTTGGCAGCTCCGGCTCGAAAGTCGCAAATGTTCAGCTCAAGTGCAGCACGCGAAGCTCGGTTTGGCAGCTCCGGCGCGAAAACCGCAACTCTTGAGTATAAGATAGTATAAGTGTGCTGCTGCAAAGAGAGATGCACGGCTTTAGAAGGCTCGCTATGGAAAACTGGGATCTCCTTTTGACGACGACATCTCGCATTGCGCGCATTGCAAGATCGCCGCAGGCGCGCCATGCTGCACGCTACAGCTTTTCATTTTCCCGATGCGTTCTCCGCATGCGTGCTTGGAAATCTTCCGGCTCCTTTATGATTTGAGCCACGCTTTTTTTGTTGAATCCAGCAGCAAATGGGCTTGCGGGACGCTCGTCTAGCAAGAATTCTGATTGAGACAAACACCTCACTCTCGAATTCTGCAGACGCGCCCCCGAATCACAAAACTGCTCGAACTTTCAGTTCAGCAGGTTCCCGAGCGCACTGTTGCCATTTTTCTGAACAGCGTTTCAAAACTCTCAATTTGGAAGCCAACCTTATACTGGGGTCGATGGGTGTCAAAACCAATTTCGACCGCCCCTGCTATTCCTGCTCACCTCCATAGGTTTTCGGAAGCAGTCCAGGCTTGTTATTTGGCACTAAAGTCATCCAGCCCCGAAATGCACAAAGTCCAGTATTCGAGGGGAACATTTGTGGGAAGGGATGGGAAGGGCACCTTGGGATCATGTGTCACCCCACCTGAAAAGTCAACAAGTGGGTTTGCCATCAATACCTTTGCTAGCTGTCTGGTCCTAAAGCCATGTAAACTTCGAAAACCTAATCACCTACCCTACCCTTTTGCTTTCACGCCAACTAACCCATGCAAACATCCGGCAGGCGGCCTTGTCCCAGTTCCACGGAAATGAACCAGGAGAAGCCCTCAAATTTACTGGACCCGTCACCTTAGTTTTTTCTTTTACTCTCTGACGTGTGGCAAATGAAAGCACATATGCCCGGCCCAATTGCCAGGGTCTTTGACGAGACCCCAAAATGTCTGGAGTCTAGCTGCTACAGTTGGATACCATGCTCTACTACATGCGAAACCTACACGTAAAATAACCTTAGTGGTCTGCCTATCGGACTGGGTTACGTCGTAGCCCGAACAATGAGAATGGGGTTGTAGGTGCTTCAAGGCCAAGTTTGGTCATAGTAGTATGGCTTTGTGCAACATAGAGGAATATCCTTTTGCCATCAAAAAAGGGACAGAGATCCTTCCTGCTTGCTGTCTTCTCTATGGCAAGCACTGGGTGTCTGCTTTCACTGAACTGTGCGATTGCGCCAGATTGCATCCTTCGTCCTTTGCCACAATGCCAGGTCAGCGCGAAGCCCGAAGAACAAACGGTGACGGGACGGTCTATGCCAGATTGGGATTCTTGGCTAGAAAAAACCCTCTCATCCCTCTCCGTGTTTTGTTTCAAAGCGTAGCGGCTTTGATCTCGAGAAGGCTAGCTCTGCTGAACAACAAACCTCAACGTAGCCTAGATGGACAGCACATCTTAACATAGCCTTGCTTCTCCGCACATCTCAGCATAGCTTGCCCGCACAGCGCGTAACATAGCCTCGCTTCGCAGAGCATCTCAACATAGCTTTGCTGCATAACACATCTCAACGTAGCCTTGCTTTGCGACACATCTCACATAGCTTGAATGCAACATAGCATTGCTCGACACCAGGCCTCAAAACGGCCATGCTCCAGAGGACATCTCAACATAACTTTGTTGCGCAGCTCATCTCAACATAGCCTTGCTGCGCAGCACATTTCAACATTGTGTTGCTTCAAAGCTTGCCTTGCTCTGCTCAGCCCTCCACAGCCCTGCTTTGCGCAGGGAGCGCTCTCGCGGGTGAACTTGGAAACTCACCGACAAACCCTCTGCGGGGTTCGGCGTGTCGAGGCCCTCTCGCTGTCGCGCCGCGCGGATTTTCTACGTGACCGAGGAACCTTCTGCAGGGATCGTGTGTTGAAGCGCTCTCGCTGCGGCGCCGTGCGATTTTCTTAGCGTTCTCCTCTCCGCCCTCTGTGGCGATCGTGCGTGTCGAGTCGCTCTCGTTGCGGCGCCTTGCGAATCTGGCGGAAAGTAGCGTGTGCCCTATTCGCGGCTCTGGCACAAGGTGCAAAAGGCGGTTTTTAATAGCACGCGAGGTACGTTCCTGCAGTGCTTGCGAAAAAGTCATTGTAGTGCACACGCAGCACGCAGAGTACGTTCCGCAAGTCTGAGTCGCTAAAATCGTAAGATAGCCTTGCTTCGCAGCACATTCAAAAATAACCTTGCGGCACTGCGCATCTCAACATAGCTTTGCTGCACAGCTCATCTCGACACAGCCCTCGCTGCACTGTATAATCGGGCTCTTTCGTTTGATAAACGCTGCCGTTGTTCTTTTTGGTGGTCTTGTTTGGGGGTCACTTGTTGAGGTTGGCTTTAATGGAAACCAAAAGGACACCGATGCCAAAACTCAGTTGGATCGCTTTCAAGGGACCTGTTTGGCGCCCTTTGACATAAATTACCTACTGCCCCCCATTCTGGCTCAGAAAATCCCAACGTGGTCTAGTGCCACAAATTGCCATGGTTTCCAATGGCAGAAAGAGCCCCTTTTCGGGGTACGAATTTGGACAGAGTGCGTGAGGCTCGGCCTACATGTCTGCATTCCATGGTCCATTTGCAGAAAGGAACTTGCGGGGCAACAGAGACCTGCGGGCCAGAACCTCATCCCGTCCCATGGGAAATATGGGGTTGGGATACACAAATACCATTCCCTTTTGACTGTCCTCCTGGGAAATAGACAAATCATTGGCTGTTTAGTGGGGTAACCAGTCAGTGATGTAGTACCCCACATACATACTGCAGCAAGCTCGTTCGAAATCTGCAACGGTGGATATTGCAGGCATTCCGCGGAAAATGGGGAACCTTTCCGAGGTTGATTCCACTACCAATGGAGGCCAAACACGAGGGAGGTTTCAAGGGCCCCTCCCCACCCCCCTCCCCCAAAAAAAACAGGTTTGAATGGTTTTAAGAACCCCTTGGATGCTTCCTTAGTAGGTTTTTTCCCGCTCAAGTGCAACATGGCCATAATGAGTCCACGCCCATCCAAGCCCAACATTGACACGGTTACAAAGGTTACACATACTATAACCCATGAAACCAGGTAGTACCACTGAGATGGCCCCGTCCATCGGAATCGGAGTGCGTAACTCAGCCCTGTTTGACTGTGGAACGTTTTTGGCCCCTGGCCGACATTTCGACCACCAAGAAACACGTCTGTGATTTGGTTCTTTCGGGACAGGTTGGGGCCTGAAACAACCCGCAAGGTTCTTCGGTCGTGCTCCAAGCCCGGAGACAAAGATCCAGGTTTACTGGAAAAGCAATGTAGGTGTGTCTAAAAAATGTGCAAGTAGTTGGGTTCCTGTTGGTTTCCCTGGAAAACCATTCAAAGTGGGAGACATAGCCATTGGTTTCCAAAAGGTTTAAGGGAGCTTGGGGCACCAAAGACCAGCCATGTTCCTATGGTGGGACCTCAATCGAGCCGGTAGGCGAGAGGCGATTACGTTGCAGGGTCATGACCCTCCAATGCCTCCAATGAAAAATGACGAGGACCCGCTAATGGCCCCCAAAAAACCCGACGGACCCTCATCTTGGGTCGTTTCTCACACTCGCCCGCCCTTCATAGGACTGGCAACTAGCGGGTTTCCTGCTGAGTCACAAAACCTGGCACTAAAGCCTCCCACCCCACACTGCAAGAATCAAGTGCCGGATATCCGCACCTATGGCTGCTGTCTCGTAACCTTGACGGATTCTGATTGTGACTCATGGCGCAAGAACAAATCCCGGACTGATTGTCTGGGTCAAACAACCAGCGCTTTGAAGAACACTCGGCACAAAGAGTTTTGTTCCTGGGCTCCCTATACTCCCCCTTGAAGCACCACCCCACCATTGATTGGCCCAACAGTTGACATTTAACACCAACAACTTAGGGAATCCTGCGCTTGGCAGATGGGCTTGAGCCGCAGCCATGCCTTGATCCAATTCGCTGATCAAACTAGCAGCAACTCAGGCCAGCATGGCATGGGCAAGACCATCAGGAGAAAAACCTCGCGCCTCCCGCACCCCCTGGAAAGGTTCTAGAGTTTTGATCGAAGGGAAGTGTTCTGAGAACCTTTCGATGCAAGGTAGCTGGGGGGCTTTCGGTGGGGAGCGTCTCACGCGCAGCCGAACGCGAGGCGATTCGGTGAGGAATCGCAACGAAAACAGATTGCAGTACCCATACCCAGGCCCCAACCCATCGACATCTGGTTTTACGAAATGGTTGTGATTACTTCTACTTACGCCAGTATAACCTTTTTAAAACCATGTAATAGATGCACCTACTAAAATGAGGCATTAGGGTACTGGGCGCTGCAGTGGAAAACCGTCGCGCTGCATTGGACACCGTCTCGCTGTCAGCGTCAGCTTGGCTCTTGCAGAGAATCAGTACCCATCTCAGAGGCGTTCAGTTCTCTTGGGAAGATCTCCCTTGTGGCTTCTGAGCACGGGTCTGGACTTGCCTTCAACCAATTCAGCAATTCAGAAACTGAGAACGAGAACCCGCAACTCAAGCCACTTTCAAAACACCCAGAGACAGGACATAGGCACCAGCTGCCCGTGCAGTCTACAAGGAAGTTTGGCCTGATATGAAGTTTTGATTCAACTCGCAAACCTGACCGCACAGGGACAGGTTAGATGCGAGACCACAAGTAAGCTAAACCGCTTCGTCCACACGTGCTATGGAGCATTTCGTGCGTGGATCAACAAGTACGCCAAGTTGACGCGTGTCACGTAACTCGGCGGGCGCGGGCAAAAGGCATGGTAGAGGTTGTCTCGCAACCAGTTTGGCTGTTTGCAGACACCTCATGACCAATCTCACAGGCCGTTAGTCTTGAGAAGACCTCCCCTGTGGCTTCTGATCGCGGGTCTGGACTTACCAACCATCAAACAACATCCACTGCTCAGTTGACATTGACTAACAATTAGAACCCGACATTCTGAAGCCACTGCTGACAAAAAGCAGTTTGGCCTATGTTTTGAACCGAATCGCAAACATGACGGCAAATGGGACACAGCCGCAACACTCTTGAACGAGTTCTTGCACACTACTTTGTACAGCAGTAACCCAAACTGCTCCGCCTAGCAATACAAGGTCGTGTCACGCAACTCGGCGGGCATAGGCGAAGA